TCACGATACAAGTCCTGATCGGCCTATCCTCTGATCCAGATAAACTCTATTTAGGTGCATAAACCATGCATGCGTGTTTGTAATGGAAGATCTTCCAGCAGAGTGGGTAACTGTTCCTCAAGAAATTGTGAATACCTTGGGCCATTTAGTCTAGGTGGCAACTCAACGGGTCCTATTAAATGTTGTCCAAATATTCCTGCCCTCAAAATCAATATTTGAAATTGTACTTGGTGGCGGGTTTCTATTATTGTATGAGGAATCTACATAAATGTGAAGATTATGCGAGTTAATGGGTACATCACTTGCAAATCCTGCTTCATCTGGAAATAATACTATTAACGTAAAACCATTGTCGTGGTTAAACTTCCTTAAGAGCCGTGAACAAAATTCGACCCTTGCGGGGTCATCATCTGCGCTTAAACCATGTACTTTTTGCAGGTGGTATGGATGGAGCAGTTACTCTTGAAAAATGGCATTTATTGTACATCTGGAAACTTGAAATTCTCGAGCTACATTCCCCTAACCCCAACTGTAGGATTTTTAATGACAGCATATAAAACATTTTCTTCAACTTCAACTGTGCGTACAGTTCTGGGAGCTCCACTATGTCGGCCCATATTTTGAGCGATCTAAAATCCAAATGATTTTTACTACTCAAAATAACCCTATAATCATTTCTTACCAGTTACCAGAGACGAGACTGGAACATAATTACATGATCAAACGAACTTACCTGTAAGTGATGTTCGATCCTAGTTATGTGAAGGTCTCGTCGGAATAAATAGTTCATGCCCTATGTATCACCCGATTGTTATAACAACTTGGCTTCAAAGAAAATGAGAGGTTATTGCCGGCCAGAGAAGAGGAAAGTAGGGGGGAGCGGGGAGCTGCTTTCCTTCGCTGCGTGCTCTCTTTGAACTCGTCAATTTGGAGTGATACCAGGGTTCTACGAGTAGTATTTACTTCGGCGAGACCTCCACATAATTAGAATCGAACATCACTGACAGATAAGTTCATTTGATCTTGTAATTATAATATGGTACCAGTACCACAAAATTGACGATAGTAAGTGAAATAGTAAAAATCTCAGTGCTACATTTCCTTTTGTATGATAAATGGTGTGGTAGCGAGATACTACGATCAGTGGGCCTGAAAATTATTTTTTATTTGTACCTAATTTTAATAGGTTAGTATCCACCTTGAAACTTAACTATAGACGCACTACCCCAAAAATGTTTTAAAGCTGAAGCCTATCCTCATATACAGGGTGTTTCAGTTTATTGTTGCATAACTTTAAGATTCGATAGAACTTTTAAAATTAATGCATACAGTCTATATAAACATGGGTCGAAAAATGCGTGGCTTCCGGAATACAGGGTGTTTAGATTTACTTTCTAAAATAGTTTTTTTTAAATATTTCGAACAATATGTGATGTATAACAGTGAAAATTGGTATACAAGGGTTTTTTGGTACGACAAAACAAACCGTGGGCATAGTTTTACTGTAGCCTCTAGAGGGCGCTCTCTACTGTACCTGTAGTTTTTAATTATTTATGATAAAATAACGTTAAAAAGTCAGTATCCCGATAATTTTTAGAAGTAGGCTGTGCCTGCAAATATTTTTGAAATTAAAAGCAGAATAAGGTTAAACGTCAATTAGTTGACAGTTAGTTTTGTTGTCTGTTGAAACCCGAAACGTCTTTTTGCAATTGTGAATGCACGAAATTTAGTTTCTTTTACCTGTTTTTTTTTGTAAGTTTTATAAAAATGCCATTTTTATTCTCCAATCAAGAGTTAGCGGATATTCATTTTGTGTATGGCTTTGTAAATGGAAACGCAGCAGAAGCAGCCAGAGAATACGCACGAAGATTTCCAAACAGACGACATCCAACTCGCTCAGTATTTGTAAGGCCAAATAATTGAAAACGGTTTTGCAGATCTCCAAAGGGATCAAAACATAAATGTTCGTCAGCGCAGATATACCCGTATGATTCTGCGTGAGTTTGATAGAGATCCGACCACAAGTGTTAGGAGAGTTTCTGGTGCCTTGGGAATTTTAGCAAGCCATGTTCACCGTGTTCTTAGAAATGACCATAGACGTCCTTACCATTTGCAACCTGTGCAAGGACTACAGCCAGGGGACGGAGAACGAAGAATCACATTTTGTCAGTGGAATCTTGATAGAACTGATAATAATAGGGAGTTTTTAAGTAACGATTTATGGACCGATGAGTCATGCTTCACTAGACGTGGAGTGGTAAATTTTCATAATCAACATATTTGGTCGCTTGAAAATCCGCATGCTGTCCGGGAAAGACATTTTCAGCATGAATTTAGTGTGAACGTGTGGATTGGTATCTACCGTAATCGAACATTTGGACCCTACCTTTTGCCTGCAAGGTTGAATGCTGCGACCTTCGTGGAATTTTTAAATGCTGAACATGCAAATATGTGGGATGATGTTATGTTAGATTTAAGAAGATTGGCCTGGTTCCAGCTTGATGGTTGTCCAGCTCATTATTCGAGAATAGTTAGAAACTGGCTGGACGAAAATTGTCCAGAAAAATGGATCAGCCGTGGGGGACCAGTCGCCTGGCCTCCACGATCCCCTGACCTAAATCCATTTCTTTGTGTGGGGATTTCTAAAAGAAAAAGTGTACCAGACTCCCGTAACCACAAGAGATATGCTAATAGACAGAATCAGGAATGCATGTGATGAAATAAGGCCTTATTTGAATAATGCTATACCACGTTCGATCATTCGTAGATGTGAATTGTGTATTGAGCAGTTGGGTTTACAATTCGAGCAACTACTTTAGATTTTGTATGTTTGTCCTAACTATCCAATAGCATTTTAGTTGTAAATAATTAATTTAATTTGTTAAAAATAATATTGGAAAATTAAACAAATGAATATTCTGTTTTTTGTGTTTATTTGGAGTTAGGCATTATTGCTGTGCCTAAACACACAACCTAAATGATCATCTTAATTACTTGTAATGCCCAAATCGAAAATTTAAAAAAAATATTATTTTCCCATAAATAATTAAAAATGCATCGAACCTTAAAAATCGAAATATCTCAAAAACGGCTAACTATAACGAAATCTCACAGGAGAGCTTTTCTATGCAGAAAAGTGCGGAGAATCAGTTTTGTTATTCAAAAAGCAAAAAATTGCACTAAGAAAAATTTTTCGGTCATTTTAATACACTACAGGTACAGTAGAGAGCGCCCTCTAGCGGTACAGTAAAACTATGCCCATGGTTCGTTTTGTCGAAAGAAAAAACCCTTGTATACCAATATTCACTGTTATACATCAAATATTGTTCGAAATATTTAAAAAAAACTATTTTAAAAAGTAAATCTAAACACCCTGTATTTCGGAAGCCACGCATTTTTCGACCCATGTTTGTATAGACTTTATGCATTAATTTTAAAAGTTCTATCGAATCTTAAAGTTATGCAACAATAAACTGAAACACCCTGTATAGAGCACGATAGTACACAGAGAGCCCAAATTGGAAATTAAAACTTTTTTGTGGACAGTAAAAATAAGCTTTTGACGTGGTTGTCTCCATTAAATTTAAAAAATGCCAGAATTTAGGCCTGAACTAATTAATGCTGCCACAGAATTTATGCATTCTGCATGTTCTGCCTGGTTCAATTTCAGTGAAGCTGCTCTAAACTGTACATTTTTAAGCAGTTGATCGATATGACCGTGGTAGACATCATGTTTATTTCAAGGTAGCATCGATGAGGTGACGCCGCATCATTATATTCCAGGAAGTGAGTTCTTGAAGTGAAGAAGTGATAATTTTCAGGGAAAAAGTGCCGTGGCCTCCCCGTTGTCCATCAGTCTAAAGTCTAAAGACAAGTTATATTTTTGATAAGGGGTTGATGATTTTAAGGACACTAGTAACACATTTGATGACGAACTTGTTTGTTAAAAATGTCAACAGTTGTCAACATTTAGGATTGATATGTTCAAAAGATATACTATATAGGTGGTCAACAGGAAGAATCATTTACTTAGATATTAGGCAGTGAGACAACAACGCAACTCGTCAGTTACGCGATACTGTTGCGCGTTTTATCATCTCGTGGTGCGAGCCGAGCTTTCAATTCACCCAAATGTTTTGTAGAGTGTATCCTATTTGTCGTGCTGTCCCCTTCATCGGCTGTTTGCGATTACATTGGCAAATCTCTGTCTTCGGCTCTAAATAAAGGTTTTGAGTCATAGCCGGTCTAGCCTCTGATGTTCTTCAGCCATGAAGTCTGGTGTTGTTTTCCGTGAATCCTGTATAATCCAGTTTTTTGATCTGCGAATGTATTAATTCGCTATTCGTATCTATTCTCTTCAGCACACTCGTTGCTGGTGTGCAGTCGCCAAGGTACTTTAAGGATCCAGCGTTCAAATGGTTCTAACATGTTCGTACCTGTTACGTTGACCTTTTTTGCTTTTGTTCCACAAAATTCATATTACAGTACTAACTGCATGCCCAAAGGAGACGACACCTAAGGTTGACATTGATGCTACAAATAAGCTTCTCAATTCAATATAGCCTTGTCAAGCTGATCCTATCCACGCTCTTCGCGCTGATTGATTTTCATTTGTCTAGCGGGACCCATACTGCACTGATGATTGAGGAAAAGGATGAATTAACGGAAAGCAAACAGATCCATTTCACATATATATTTTAATTTCTGTTTATTGTTCGGCGTTTCGGTTACTACGATGGCCTTTTTCAAGTGCAAAGGCCACCATGGTAGCAGAAACATCGTACAATAAACAGAGACTGAAGTGCTTTTATACGCTCAGACAATGGAGTCAGCTCTTGTCTATAGACTATTTGGAACTAGAAAGAGGCTATACAGATGACCGATATTTCGGAACCAGAAGCTATCAGAAGGGCAGGATGCCGGGATCTATACCAAAAATTTATTTAGGAACCGGTTCTGACACCAACATTCTTCATTCTATAATATGTCAATGATTTTAGGCTTTTATATTGAGTGGTAACAAAACAGTATGCGTGCGAAACTGGGCTAGGCTACGCTTGCAACATGATCTTTTCTCAGGTAAGGCCGGTTTTTCTTGATGAAGTCTAACCAGGTTGGAGCACATAAATAAGAGTTGCAGAAAAAAAAATTTGTCACACTTAGCGACATTGAAATTGACACAATGTCACAAGAGTAGCAGCTGCAAAAAATTTATTCGTTTGGTTTTCAATATCAACGAAATAGGTTCATATAAAGAAACGTTTAATTGTACAATCTGCTTTCAGTAACAGCTATATACATAATATGTAAATGTGCCATCTTCGCTTTTATGCATAGGATGGAATTGACGAAAAGTAATGAGACAAAAATCAATTTCCGCACAAGGAACGTATTTGATTCATGTGTCTCATATTATATCACTACTCTATCTGAAAATTCGTCACTCTTCATGAGTTTTATAATTTTCCAAGGATCTGAGGAAATACCTTGACAGATGCCGTTATTCTCTGAAAAAATGTTTTTCATCCTACATCATCATTTATTTATTTAATCCATTTGCTTTCAATATTTTATATATTTTCCGTGTTTACCGGATGTATCAATTTTATTGACTTTTTTTATAATCCAACTACCACGAAGGACTAAACACCCATGGGATACCGTGGAGCTATAGGAGGATACAGGGGAAATGGGGAAAGGGGGAACGCCACATGGACTCTGGCGAGGGAACACGTGTCCATGCAACATCCATACATTCTGGCCCCGCCTACGAGATACGCCGTGTGGTACCTCTGCGCTGGATAGTCAGAGACCGTCTACCACCTACGGAAAATCACAACATCCATAGCCAAGAGAAACGTTTCTCTTGGGACGGGATTCGAACTCGCACAGCGCACGGCGACTGATCAGGAGACCGAAGAGTCTACTACTATGTCCACCGCTGCTGCCTTTTGAAGTTTACCGTTTCTTAAAATATATGTGTATATCTTGTTATTGTTTTATGTGCAAGCATGTATGTGCAGAAACTGTGTACTGCCTGCACACAGAGCTTATTATTGCAGTTTCTCTTTTTGACTTATGCTACACCTTGCAAAAACATGGTCTATGGTCTAAGTGCTTACGAACCAGGGCGAATAATATTTGTATCGAAAATATCAGGAGGTATTTGTTAACACGATTATGGTGGAGAATCTCTTCTACAGCAAACCACTGGAAATATATGTATCCACGTACTGAGAGCAAAGTAACATTGGTCATTTTTCTACCTTTTACAACAATGATTACATCCAGTTTCATTAAGCAGATACGAGCTAGCGTTGTTTGCAGTAATTTTGAAAGCTTCAAGATTGATTGACAGAAGTCACGAATGTATGTATGATTATGCTGAACTGCGATAGGTTATCAGCACTCTTCGTCTGAAGATTTTTGACGAAAGAGCTGCAATTAAGCAAGAGAAAAGTTCTTGTCATCCTGATGACATTCGCTGAGCGACAAACATTGTTCATGAAGTGAGAACTGCTCTTCATGAATTCAGTAACGAGCAATCGAGCGACTCTCTTTTGAGATGCTTGACTCAAGTAATCCTCTCTGGAAAGCTGTAAAGTCGCTCGGAAACGCTCAGGGGCCAACGGCGTCAGTGGCAGTAACGTATCCCTTAGTGATTTTTCCTCAGAGGAGTTTAGAGAAGATTCCTCAACGGAGCAGTTTCGTGGCACATCAGCAGAAACTCCTGAAATCCCGCATTGCACACCAGCAGAGCTTCGTCATATTAAAGACCTCAAGGTCCGTAAAGCACCTGAAGAGGATCGAATCACTAATAAGGTGCTGAAGCTGCTTTCACGGAAGTCGTCAACTTATCTTGTGGGAGTGATCAATACCATGCTAAGGACCCAGTAGTTATCAGTGGCCTGGAAAACCGCTGATGTTATAATGATTACAAAGAAGGGGTGTTAGATATTCCTAATGAATTACCATCCCATTAGACTCCTGTCAGCTCCTTCTAAGCTCAATGAAAAAGTGCACAGCACGGAGGTACAGGTGGTTAGGCTTGTTGTATCGTTCTGTCGACAACACGGCCCATCAAAGTCGGTGTCCCTCACGGTTCGGTTCTTACGCCAGTCTTTCAGTTACTCTTTATTCATGTCACTCCTGACAAGGGGCTGACTTGGCAGAAGCACACTGGAGTGTTAAAAACTTAATTCCAAATCACGTTTCCGCAACTCAACCCTATGCTAGGTGGAACCTCAAAATTAAGTTTGATCAACGAAGTTCGGCTATAAAAGACGGTTATTATACCAGCGATCACTTACGCAAGTGCGGCTTAGTCTTTCCTTGCCAAAATACATTTGCGTAGTCTGCAGGTTTTGCGGGGCAGAACCTTGCGTACATTAACTAACGCCCCATAGTATGTCTCCAACGAAACCTTTCACTTAGTCTTTGACATCCGTTATCTAAGGAACTACATCAAACAACGAGCGCAGCTACGTTATAGTGCGGAATTAAACAGCAACCTTGGTTGCTCGAGTTAGGTCGTGCGACTTTAGGTCCAACCATAATTATAGTTTTTCTTCAACAACCAATCTCTGCATTAACTCAAGGATCAATTTAAAATTGCCGAATACTAGTTAGCAATGCCAAGGCACCTCTCAAGTTGACGCTCTTCTTTCTTCCTTGCTCTTCCTCCTTCCTTACGTTCTCTCAAGCCTACTGACCTACAAGACTTCAACCAAGAGCTGATAAACAATGACGGATAGAAGAAGTTTTCATCAGTTTCTTGAAACTAACGGCTCAACAATGCAAATCATAATGCTTGAGCTGCTTATTATACAGGGTATTTCGGTTTATTGTTGCATAACTTTAAGATTCGATAGAACTTTTAAAACTAATGCACAAAGTCTATATAAACATGGGTCGAAAAATGCGTGGCTTCCGAAATCTACTTTCTAAAATGGTTTTTTTAAATATTTCGAACAATATTTGATGCAGAACAGTGAAAATTGGTATTCGAGGGTTTTTTGGCACGACAAAACGAACCATGAGCATAGTTTTGCTGTAGCCGCTAGAGGGCGCTCTCTACTGTACCTGTAGTGTATTAAAATAACCGAAAATTTTTTCTTAATGCAATTTTTTGCTTTTTGAATAAAAAAACTGATTTTTCGCACCTTTCAACATAAAGAAGCTGTCTTGTGAATTTTCGTTATAGTTAGCCGTTTTTGAGATATTTCGATTTCCATGGTTCGATGCATTTTTAATTATTTATGAGAAAATAATATTTTTTCTAAATTTTCGATTTGGGCATTAAAAGTAATTAAGATGATCTTTAGATTGTGTTTTTAAACACAACACTAATTCGTAACTCCAAATAAACACAAAAAAACAGAATATTGATTTGTTTAATTTTCCAATATTATTTACAACTAAAATGCTATTGGATAGTTAGGACAAACATACAAAATCTAAAGTAGTTGCTCGAAATGTAAACCCAATTTTTCAGTACACAATTCACATCTACGAATGATCGAACGTGGTATAGCATTATTCAAATAAGGACTTATTTCATCACATGCATTCCTGATTCTGTCTATTAGCATATCTCTTGTGGTTACGGGAGACTGGTACACTTTTTCTTTTAGAAATCCCCACACAAAGAAATCTAATGGATTTAGGTCAGGGGGCCGTGGAGGCCAGGCGACTGGTCGATCCATCTTTCTGGATAATTTTCGTCCAGCCAGTTTCTAACTATTCTCGAATAATGAGCTGGACAACCGTCAAGCTGGAACCAGGCCAATCTTCTTAAATCTAACATAACATCATCCCACATATTTGCATGTTCAGACTTTAAAAATTCCAAGAAAGTCGCAGCATTTAACCTTTCAGGCAAAAGGTCGGGTCCAAATAGCCGATTACGGTAGATACCAATCCTCAGGTTCACACTAAATTCATGCTGAAAATTTCTTTCCCGAACTGCATGCGGATTTTCATGCGACCAAATATGTTGATTATGAAAATTTACCACTCCACGTCTAGTGAAGCATGACTCATCGGTCCAAAAAACGTTACTTAAAAACACCCTATTATTATCAGTTCTATCAAGAATCCACTGACAGAATGTGACTCTTCGTTCTTCGTCCCCTGGCTGTAGTCCTTGCACAGGTTGCAAATGGTAACGACGTCTATGGTCATTTCTAAGAACACGGTGAACATGGCTTGCTGAAATTCCCAAGGCACCAGAAACTCTGCTAACACTTGTGGTCGGATCTCTATCAAACTCACGCAGAATCATACGGGTAAACCTGCGCTGACGAACATTTATGTTTTGATCCCTTTGGAGATTTCCAAAACCATTTTCAAATATTTGGCGATGCACTCTTAGAAATACTGAGTGAGTTGGATGTCGTCTGTTTGGAAATCTTCGTGCGTATTCTCTGGCTGCTTCTGCTGCGTTTCCATTTACAAAACCTTACACAAAATGAATATCCGCTACCTTTTGACTGGAGAATAAAAATGGCATTTTTGTAACTTACAAAAAAAAAACAGGTAAAAGAAACTAAATTTCGTGCATTCACAATTGCAAAAAAACGTTTCAGGTTTTAACAGACAACAAAACTAACTGTCAACTAATTGACGTTTAACCTTATTCTGCTTTCAATTTCAAAAATATTTGCAGGCACAGCCTACTTCTAAACATTATCGAGATAGTGACTTTTTAACGTTATTTTATCATAAATAGTTAAAAATGCATCGAACCTCAAAAATCGAAATATCTCAAAAACGGCTAACTATAACGAAAATTCACAAGAGAGCTTTTTTATGATGAAAAGTGCAAAGAATCTGTTTTTTTAATCAAAAAGCAAAAAATTGCACTAAGAAAAAAATTTCGGTCATTTTAATACACTACAGGTACAGTAGAGAGTGCCCTCTAGCGGCTACAGTAAAACGTTGCCCATGGTTCGTTTTGTCGTACCAAAAAAAACCCTTGTATACCAATTTTCACTGTTATACATCAAAGATTGTTCGAAATATTTAAAAAAAAATATTTTAGAAAGTAAATTTAAACACCCTGTATTTTGGAAGCCCGC